GGGGGGGCCGGCGGGGCAGGACTGAGGGGCATCACAAGGGTTTAGGGCTGGGGGGCAGGATTCAGGGGCATCACAAGGGTTTCGGATGCGGGGGCAGGGAGCCCGGGGCGGGGCTGGCGGGGGGCTGCGGGTCAGGGCTGAGGGGCACCGCTCACCCCGCTCTCTCCCACAGTTCGCCGTCCTGCTCACCTGTATCTTCCTGGTGGAGATCGCGGCTGCCATCGCCGGGTACATCTTCAAGGACAAGGTGGGCACCTCGCTGCCGTGTGGCTCCCGCGATTAGGGGGGGGTCCTGCTCCCCCGGCACAGGCGTCTCTTGGGGCTGCCTGGGGATCGCCAGTGGGGCTCAGCCTGGGTCCGGGCCCCCCCAGCTGAGGTTGTGGGTGACGCGAGAGCCCACAAGGGGGCGCTCAGCCCTGGCAGCCCTGTTCCTCTGGAGCCGCATGTGGCTACTCTGACCCCCCCCTGCTCCCCCCCCCAGGTCCGCACCGTGCTCCAGGGCGGCCTGGAGGATGCCATGAAGAAATACAGCAAGGACCCACTGGTAGCGGAGACCATGGATGAACTGCAGAAGAAAGTGAGTGGGGGGGAGGGGGGGCAGGGTGACCTTTGACCTCATTTTGGGGACCAGGTTCCAAATGCTTTGACCTCATTTGCAGGCCCTAGTTCCAAATGCTGGACCGAATTTCCCCCTCACAGCTGGGGAGGGAACCCAGGAGTCCTGACTCCCAGCCACCTGCTCTAACCACTAGACCTCATGCCCCTGAGGCCAGACAGCTCCTGCTTGTTCTGACCCCTGGTTCTCTCCCTGTTTACAGTATTCCTGCTGCGGCGCCCGTAACTACACAGACTGGTTCGACTACGATCCGTTCAAAGGCAACAACACCGTCCCCAAATCCTGCTGCCAGGCGAACGCCACCATGGCCACCTGCAACGTCAGTCCCACCCCTGACACCATCAACGTCCGAGTGAGTTCCAGCCTGGGGCTGGGGGGATGTGTGGGCAGGGCTGGGGCGAAAGGGGAGTTCACACTGTCCCAGCGGGAGCTGGTGGGGATGGGCAGGGCTCGGGTGTGGGTAGGGTTGGTGGGAAAGGGGGGTTTGCACTGTCCCAGCTGGGGCGGGAGGGGGGTGTGGGCAGGGCGGGGGCAAGGGGGTTCGCACTGTCCCAGCTGGGTCTCTGAGCTACCTCGTCGCCTCCCCCTGCAGGGCTGTGCGGAGAGCATCGAGGCCTGGCTGAAGAAACATATCGTGATAGTGGCGGCCGTGGCGCTGGGCATCGCCTTCTTCGAGGTACCGAGGGCCCCGCCCCGGCCCCCTGTGCTCCTGGCCCCCCCGCTGGCCCCACCCCTGGACTCTGGTCCCGCCCCATGGCATGCCCCGCCCCTGCTCCTGAGTCTGGACACGGGCAGCCCGGATGGGCCGGGCAGTGCTGGGGGTCGGGTGGGGGAATCCAGGGTGCTGGACAATTTCCCTAGATCCCGTGGCTGGGCCTGGGCGCAGAGCTGGGGCCCTGAGAGGCCAATCGGGGAGCTTTGGGGGGTGAGCTGGGGGTGCCCCTCCCTCTAATGGGCTGGAGGGCAAAGGTCGCAGGGCCGGGCAGTGCCCGGTGGGTGGGGGGGGGTTAAAGCCGGGGGAGGGCGTTGGCATCGTGGTCGCCTGACTCCTCGTCCCCTCTTGCAGCTCCTGGGCATCGTCTTCGCCTGCTGCCTCATGAAGGGGATCCGGAGGGGCTACGAGGTCATGTAGTGGCCGGGCGGGGTCGTCCTGCCCCAGCCAGGACTCCGGGGGGGGCTCTGCCCCTTTAAGCCGTCAGACCCGCCTTCTTTCCGCAGCGCCCCCTGGTGGGCAGCTCCTGTCCTTCAGCGGTTACCGTATTTCCCCTAATGGACGGGCAGCAGGTGCCTTAAATATTTGCCAAACCCCCTTCCCCTTTTCTTACTTTAGCTGCCCCTCCCCCGCACCTCTCCAGTGTCGGGGGAGGGGAGTCCGGGGGGCTTCTCTGCCTTTGGGGGGAGGGGGGAATGTTGATATGTTTGAAGATGTTTTGGGGGGGCACAATATTTTGAAAATAAAAAGCTTCCCCGGATCGCTCTGTTCTGCTGCCTCGGGGCTTCTTGGGTCCTTCGGCCCCGGCTTGGGGGGCAAGGGGGAGATTTGACCTCGTCCCATCTGGTGTCCATTTCCCCCCCCCCCCGAGAATTTAAAGCCCAAGCCGTGGTGGGGCCTCCCCCAGCTCTGCTCCCGAGGGGCAGCTCTTGGGGGGTGGGAGGGTGGTTAAGGCAGTTTCCGAAGTGCCCCTGTGCTCACCCCCCCGCCCCTCCCCTCCCCCGCAGCCGGGGGCCATGCGGGCGTCTGCCGGGCTCAAAGCAGGTGTTACTGGGGCAGCCCGGGCTGGGTCAGTGCCAGGAGGGGGGGATTCCCACACACATGCCCTGGGGGGGGTCTGTGCTGGGGGTCCCAGGGGAGCAACCCCCCTGCGTCAGTGATGAGTGGGGGGCAGGGCCTGCCCACAAGTGTTAATCCCTCTGCTGCTGCAGCGGGGGCGGGACCAGGAGCCTCGTGCCCAGCTCAGTGGGGGGGCATGTGTGATCTCCCCCCCCCCCCCCCCCCCC